TTATAATTTCATTAGTCTCGTCTTCGACACTAGACCACTCATATGCCACAAGAGATACAACTCTTGTATTTAGTTCAATTGGCAATAGTATTTGTTTACTTGTTAAATTATCTAACACGAGGTTTACAGAATTATTGGTATCACAACTTTTGTTATTAAAGAAATAAATTTCTTTAGGTACACTTGATATAACACAATCACTATTATCCGCTAAACAGTCTACTTCGTTAAAGTCTTTTAAGCAATCTGTTAAGTCAAAGTCTTTCAGCTCCGTACAATTTTGCATTGCTGTAAGCGTAGTAATAGTATGATTCTCTTCAGGCAGAGGTTCGTCTAATACCATAACTATAGGTGTATTTTCTATATTTAGGTTTTCCCATGCGTCGATTTCATCAGAGTTTGTCAGTTGGTTTACCAATAGAGAGTCTATTTGGTCGCTTCTATTTACAATCAAGTTTTTGTTAGCCATTGCAAGCATACGCGAAGTTCTCTTTGACATGATTACTATACAATACTTGAGACACACAAATTCTCCTACCAGTTAATCGCTGTTTGTTGCCTACTTGCAAATTCTCCTATCTAAAAGAAATTATAAACACTAGATTTTCGTCTATTTTTATAGTTTTAGTTTAGAACCTTATTACTTTAAATTTTATAATCATATAATATTACCATTAATATATACATAATATCTTGTGAAACTTACCAGAAATATCGTATTTCGTTGAAAAATAACTTACAATCTACTAGCATTCAATACCCTATGATTACAGCATAAAAACTGACAAGATAGGACATGTTGGATTACAGTTTACCGCGTGAATTTAGATAGGAGAAATTACAAGTAGCGTTTTTATATATTTAGACATTGTTCTCGTTAATAGAACTTCTACGGACGAATATTTGGTGTAAGCAGATTCCAAATTCATCGATATCTCATTTTCATACAAAATGCTGATAGGATAAATTGCCAGGTCACTGAAGATTTATTATTAAATGTGTACGGTTTATTTGAAACCAAACGGTAAGGTGGCAATATTTGGCTCACTTACATACCTTACAAACATTAATGTCAAACATCAACAAACTTACTTTAACCTTTAATTGTAACGTATTTCCATTTAAATAGCAGTTACTTACATTACTTAAAAATGCCACAAGAAAATATATTCAGAACAATAGATAAGGTCTAGATAAGAGAAGGGAGTGTTCCAAAAATGTCGTCAGCTTTACAGCGGCCATCTAACTTTTGGAGTGCGGTACATGCGACAGTCAACTATAGAAAATGTCACACCGAGAGTGCAGTACGGCTAATATAGGAATGCACAATTGCCCGATTTCACGCCTTGTGCTTGGCGATACAAACAGGTCCAAGTGGTAGTGACAGAACCGTACCCAGATCTCTACGCCGGGCTCTGTTATTTATTATAAAATAATATATTGATAAAATAATTGCCTTCAAGTAGCCAAATAAGAGGCATAAATTTGAATAAAAAGGCCTTAAGTTTTTAGCGGGAAATTTATTATAAAACTGTTTTAAATTGCATTTTTTGATAGCTATAAATATACCGGGTGGAACCTCCGGTAACTCGATTTCCGTGCACCCAGCCCAATATCCTAGAAAAACTTTTTCTTTTGTAAATATGTGAAAAAATATCAAGAACGGTAAATGTTCCTGAAAAAAAGTTGGACTGGTAAATTCATTTTATTGGTTATACAGTGTAAAATAATCGAGGTTACTCACAGATATTCAATTTATACTAAAGTCGTCCTCTACATCCGAGATGTCGGATTCGCTTTCGCTACTCTCCCCTGTGTTCGCGTGTATCATCAATTGATCTACGTCATCTTGCAGGTTGTCCGCAGTCCACATATCAGTGTCCGTTTTCTCAACAACATGAGTGACATAATTGCGCCAATTTTGCTCTGTGACGCGTGCGAAACCGTCGTCGATCAACTGGCGTGCCTCGTCGTTTTTAAAAGTGGTATTATGGGTACCTACATATCGCTTAACTTGGTTCCACACCATTTCTATAGGATTCAATTCGCAGTGATATGGAGGAAGCCTTAAAATATAAACATTATGTTGTGAAGCATATTCATCAAGATGATACTTATCGTATTGATCTTTAAAAGCACGCGCTGCTTCTAATAGCTCGGATTTCAAATAACGCTACTCGAAAAAAATGTCTTTTTCCACTAGCCATTCCCTGATTGCAGCTTTATTCCAGGAATTGTTAGGCAATCTCTCTTTACAGGAGTGATACGATGCATTGTCCATTACAATGACATTCTTGCCACCATTATTTGGTAAATTTGATATTAATATCTGCTTAAATCACGACTCAAAATATGCGGCATCCATTATATCGTGATAGTCGCTATCATTTTTCCTTGCCAGAAAAACACGCTGTGTGCCAGGAAGGAAACCTCCTGAAAAACCTGCATGCAATAAAACATATCGTGGACCTCCTTTAGTAGGTGCTTTTAAGCCAGTACTTAAACCTTTGAGAAAAGCATCACGACTGTTTTGTACCGTAGTATCGCACTATTCGTAATTTATAGATTGGCCAACATTAACCTACGATTCGTCCAAATATATGATATTGCAATGGTCTTTTCGCAAACGTCGTATAGTTCTCAAATAATTATGGCGCCAATGAATAATATCCTCTCGCTTCATCATGATGCTTTTTCGGCCACGTTTCTTATAAACAAATCCAATATCTTTCAGAAGTCTGTATAAAGTAGAAAGAGACAACGGCTGTATATTTTCATTGCATTGTATGAAGTTATGTATATGCTTTAAGAATGGCGGCAAATTTTTCATGAAAAATTCAAAATGAACAATTCTCCGTAGAATACTTCTTACACCCTCGTCATATGTGAATATTCTAGAATTTGATTGACACATTCGTTTTTTACGTTTTTTTTTTTGGCGATTTCAACGTTCCACTCTGTTCTTTTTCTTTTTTGAAATTGTAAATGCTTCTTTCGCTAACCCCAGTCATCAACGAAGTACGTCTTACAGCAGCACTTACATTAAGTTGTTCCGTATTTTGTAAAAAACACAACACATTTAACACTACGAGTTTAGCGCAACCGTTAAATAATTCACCGGATTTAAACTTATGGGACTCCATGCTCTCTGCTGAAACTCGAACTAAATTTTGAAGTGTAGTTTCGTTTTCCAAAAGCACTACCCCTTTGCTATAAATAATGTCAATAATTACCCCTTGTCATTATTGACATTATTAATTTGATTTTCTTTTTCTTTTTGTCTAAACTTATTACTCCGGTTTCCATGTCTCTTCTATTTTTTATATTTATTTTAGGTTAGTTTGACAGAGGAAGTGTCTATGTTTATGAAAACATAGTTTCATAAACATCAAGTATCTTTGATATATTTCCTAGTAGTTACTCTTTTCCTCTTATTTTGGGCTTTTGGATAATAATAGATCACCTAGTAGGAGCTTAGAACGCTTAGTGGAACTATGATGGGATGTCGGTCAATATAAAATCCAAGGGAGCGGTGGATAGACGAAGTAAGACCCGATGCTAAAGAGATAATGAGGGTGGATAACTGGAGGAGAATAGCCAACGAAAGGGGTGTTTGGAGGAGGATGCTGGGAGAGAACAGGGCCCAACGTGGGCTGTAGCGCCATAGGAGAGAGATTATACTATATGGAGAGTTATAGTATAACAAAGTAAACTGAATGATTTCTATATTAAAAGTGTCATTAATAAAATAAATTTTATTGTGTGTAATAAATTATACATAAATATTATATTCATTTCATTTGCTTTTAACGGAACAAAATCAAATTTTCTTAGGAAATATAAAATATACGTAATTACTAATAATAGGGAATAAACCACAATTAAAGGTTAAAGTACGTTTATTGAAGTTTTAATATCCACTTCGGAAATCCTTCTCAAAATACAAACAGTAGTAAATTAAAAAAATTTTGTTTCTTTATTAAGAAAGAAATCAAATTTGTTTATTATACTACTGTTTGTATTTTGAGAATGATTTCTGAAGTGGAAATTGAGACGTCAATAAACTTACTTTAACCTTAAATTGTGGCTTATTCTCATTTAAATAGTAATTACTTAAAAATGCCACAAGAAAATAGCTTCAGAACAATAATAAAACATATGAAATTATATAATTTACTTTATCCGTCAAGACACATACTATATAATAATTTAATAATTATATCGGTCTTAGATTTAATTTTTAGGTAATTACGTATGTATTTAAATAAATAATTAAAATATTATTTTGGTACGCCACTGCAAAGTTGATAAGGGAAATATCCTTTCGTAGCTTTAAATGCGATGTTGCTAAAAAAATCGTCTTTAAGTAAAAACTGCTTTAGTATAGCTACCTTTTTTTGTGTCAATCTTTCCGCTCTATAGGTGAGTACAGGTAACACACATTGGTTAAAGATTTTCCTTTTGAGGCGTATGGGTAGATCCGATTTAAATACACAGGTTATTTGCTAAACGCTGCCCAGGCTAATCTTATGCGACATGGGAACTCACATGTCTGGTTATCTCTGCCCAACCAAATTTCATGTCCTAGGTACTTATACGATGTAGTCTGTATATTATCCCTTCCAGCAACAGCAATATTTCGATTTAGCACAAGATTAATCATTATTTACGTTTTGTTCATATTAGTTTTTAGTCCGACCTCCATAAAAACGTGATATAATTTCTTGTAGTTATTTTTTATAGTTTTTCTTTTTTATATTCTGTTAGATGAGATTTTAAGACTATACAACAGCTTTTATAGTCCTAAGGCCAATAAAGCCCTCATAGTACTTTCAATTACTTCGATTTTTATCATCTTTATCGTCTGATAAACTGTTCTTTGTTATTACTTATAATAATAGTTGACTTCTTTTTACTTATGACAATCTTTTCCAAACCTCAAGTCATTTCAAAATCAATAAAACACAATAATATACATTTTTTTACCAAAAAAATCTTACCTCAGTTGACTAATCCAATCAAAATCATTGACATTCTGTATTTTCAAATCTAGCAGATTCTGAGTTACGTCTCTAGAATGTACTTCTATAACAATAAGAGCTGATAGTATTTCTCTTTGAACAAATGTCAACTTTCCTTTAACTAATCCACGAAGAGCGTCCAAATTAACTAACATAACTTCAGTGAAGAAAACTGTTAGCATATTCTCTGTAACACCTTTTTCTACGCCAGCTGTCCAGAATGTTTGACTACACGCTATTACTATTTGACCTGGCCAACTAAGTACCTAAAATATAGGAATAAAAGTATTATTGGATAAAAATAAAAAAAAAATTGAATTAAAAATGTTTCTAACTAGGAAAAATTTTGAAAATATACATGTACTTCTTATCTAAGATAGGTATTTAAATACTATCCAGGATTCTGATGTAACAAAGCATTGAATGCTGAATAATCATTTTTAAATTCCACTACTATTCAATGAAAACAAGTTTAGAAACTGTAGCCAAGCTTTTATTTAACAAATAAATATTTACTATTTAACTGGGAATAAGCCACAATTAAAGGTTAAAATACGTTTATTGACGTTTCAATTTTCACTTCGAAAAACGTTAGTTTATCACTAATGTTTGTATCTTGAGAATTTATAAAGGTGGATGATAAAAGTTGCCATGCAAGTAACGATTGGTATGGGTGGGTTTTCGATAAGCAGAGTGATGAAAACTTTGGCATTCAAATGGGCCTGAAAAGACACCAAAGCATTCCTGTTGTGCGACCAACTGACAAATGCATCGTCAACATGTCGTAGCCAACATGTTGGTTTGAGCATTGCTGTGGATAGTGCTCGGGTCTCGAGGTCTTCCATAATGGACTAAGACCCATTAAGGCACTACTTATTTGTCTGTAGAATTGATTTTGGAAGATGAAATAAGTGTTAAGGATATACAGTGTTAAATGAGAGATGATTGGTCTTCCTGGATTCTGTATTTCTTCTTCTTCTTGTGCCATCTTCTAACGAAGGTTGGCGATCACTTTTTTAAACGCTTCTCGATCTTTTGCAACGTGAAATATCTGTTGAACACTGAGGTTAGTCCAGTCTCTAATATTTATCAGCCAAGATTTCTTTTTCCTTTCCAAGCCTTTTCTTTCCTCTACTCTACCTTACATGATGACTTGTAGCAGAGATTATTTATCGTTCCGGAGTATGTGGCCCAGATACGAGATTTTTTTATTTTAATTGTGTTCATAAGCATTCTGCCATGTCCAACTCGTCTTAAACCTTCCTCGTTTGAGACTTTTGCAGTCCAAGGAATCTTCAAAATACGCCTATATAGCCACATTTCGAATGCCTCCAATTTTTTTATAGATTGGGCTTTCACAGTCCAGGCTTCTACCCCATATAGTAGTTTTTTTTTCTGTAATATGGCTGTGGCAGAGCCAGTTAGGCCCGGCGCAAATTGAGAACAGCCCACGCACATCCCACGCGCAGCCCACGTATGGTCCAACCTAGTCCAAGTACACGTTTTTCAATACTAACGCATATTGAACACAGCCCACGCCCATGTCAATTATTTGTGTAGAATATGTTCTATCCATAAAATTAGGAAAAACACAATTACGAGTGTGCTGATTGTGACGAAAAAGCTGGACTATGCATAGGAGATTGTTTTCGCAAATACCATTCAACGAAAAGATAGACTGTCTTTAGTATATTAGTTTAAATAAAGATTTTATTTTCTAAAGACCTTAGTTTACCTAATATCCCACTAATAACAATTTCTAATCTGAAAATATAAATATCATAAAAACTTTCACAAATGCTAAGGGTAAAAAATTGAAATCCTTCAACAAAAGACTTAACAGGTAGATACCCATAATTTGAATAGGATGGTTTTGCCGATATTGACTTTCTAATTACTAATTAGCATACAGGCAGATTTTACAGAGTATTGTTGAAATAAGTGAAATAACGTAATAAACAACAAAAGAGCTAAAAAAATACAAAAATTCCAGATCGTATTTTGTTTTCGAGATAAATTTAAATTTGAGATTTTTTTATTATTTTTCTACTTTCTTCATGTTCTTTTTTAATTTAATTTTAGTGTATAAAGGCCATTACAATATGAGCATCATGAAAAAGTACCATCAAATTTTATTTTTGAAGTTTTCATCTTAGGTGTTCATAAAAATTTTGCTAGGAAATGAAAATTTGTTTTTTTCCCTTAGTTCTCGATTTGTTATATTTCTCATTTGATTTAATAAAAAATTAATTTAAATTATTATTTTTTGAATAATTATAACGGCGACTTACATCCGAGTCGCTTAGCACAAATAAAGAAAATATTAGTTTTGTTCTCATGTAATCTTCATTACTAGTATCATACAAGACACTACAGCTTCGAACAATTTCAATAAACTTTTCCATTTTCACTGAATAACAAAAAATTGGTCACACAAAACGAAATAACTAAGGTTAGGTAGAGACCCACGACCCACGAAACTGTGTTGCTAGCACAACTCTATCCACGCCAACCAAGTCTGGCAGTAGCCTGGCCGTGGTTTGGGTTTAATATGCGTCGCTCCGTCTAAAACCACGTTTTACAAAATAACCCACGCGTGGGCTGCGCGTGGGATGTGCGTGGGCTGTGCTCAATTTGCGCCGGGCCTTAGCCAGACTTGTTTGTGTTTATTGTTAAAATTGACTGAATTTTAATTATTAGTGATTGCAGATTCATAGTCAAAATTTTCTTGTTATAAGTTATCAATGATAGTACTACATATATACCTAATATTTATACGTAAATTATATTTCGATATTTTTTTTTTGTTTCTTTTTTTTAACTCTTTTATTATCTTCTTTTTTTGTTTTGTTTTCTTTTTTGTTTTGTTGTTTTTTTTTTTTTGTTTTTTTTTTTGTTTTTTGCTTTTTTTTGTTTTTTGTTTTTTTGTTTTTTTTTGTATTTATTTTTTTTTTGTTTTTTGTTCTATATCTATTTTCTTAATTCTTTTGTTTTTTTTTTTCAAACCATATTAACAGTTTATGCATATATACTATTTACAACTTGTATTTACACATTTTAACATGTTTGTAAATGCAATGAAGAATTTCCATATTATTTGAAAATATTAAAAGATTAAGGTTTATTGGAAAACAACACTTAGAATTTATTAATTCTTTATAAAGTTCGTTTATTTTATTAATTTGTAAATCACATTCTATTGTAATATGTGTTAGATCGCCTATTTTGCCACAAGTACAATTGTGAGTATTTGATAAGCCGATATTATGCACGTAAGATGGCGTAATAGCACGATTTGCTCGCAGCCCATTAATGGTCTTTATAAAATGTCGATTAGATTCTGTGTAAAACCATCTTCTTGAGGGTATCCTAGTGTTACATTGATAAAAGTTTAAGCCAGTCTTACATTCTGTGTAATCTAAATGCCAATTATTTTTAAGTTTTTGTCTACTAACGGTGTCAATATCTGTCGCTGGTTTTAAATTTTTGTTTACTTTTACTCCAAGCATATATGCCGATTTAGCCAAATTGTCAACGATCTCATTGCCTTTTTTTCCCGAATGGCCCTTGATCCATGTAATTATTACATTTAATCCTAAGTGTATAGTTTCATAAAGAATTTTAAGATTTTCAGTTTAATGTGGTTTATGTGTTTGACTGTTTGTATGTTGTTAAATCTGTCTACCACGTTTTAACTGTCAGTAAATATAACATAGTTGCTAGTAGGATTTAGTACTACATACTGAAGAGCAAACAATATTGCCATCATTTCTGCTGTATATATTGAGCATTCACTGGGTAAGCTATACTGATGATGGCAATTTTTATTTTCGTGGAACATTGCACAGCCCGTTCCATTTGCATCTTTTGACCAATCAGTAAAAGTGTACTGATAATTTGTCCATTTTTCTTTAATAATTATATCAAACATATTTGGGAGTAAATTTGAGTTTAAGTAACATATCCCAACTTTTCTAGAAAATAGTGTTTTGGCCATTTCACCATAGTAGGGCGGAATTTGACTTTAATAGAGAATATCGTTGTATTTTACAGTACTTACATAGCTTTCTACCAAAGGTATAGATTTTTTATTTCTCCAGTACCTACATATGGGTAAGGTCTAAAACTGATAGCTCATTAAGATCTTGAAGGTATTTACAATTTTTAGACATAATTCGGACTGTAAATTTGTCGCTAAGGAATTGGCGGCGTAAATGCAATGGAGGATCCATCGCTTCATTTTCCATTATTTGGACTGGAGTGGATTTTAAATTACCTAGGCATAATCTCAGGCATTTATTTTTTTGAACTTTAGTTTGTTAAGGATTAAGTTTGTTTAGATGTGTATTGGCCGCTGATCCAAATAAATGACAGTTATAGTCGAAAATAGGCCTAATCATGTTACGGTAAAACCATATAGTAGTTGCGACCAAACATAACATTCGACGAACCTCAATCTGATGGCCATACTCAATTTCTTATTTGTAAACATTGACTTGTATTTTATAAAGCCTTTTCGAGCTATTTCTATTCTGACCTTTATCTCCTGCTCTTGATCTAACTGTGAGTATATAGTTGCTCCGAGGTATTTATATTTGTCGACTCTCTCTAGGGGTTTACCCTCCAATGTCAGTTGTATGTTGTCAACAGGGTTTTTTAAGATCACCATGTATTTGGTTTTATTTATATTTATTACACCTTCAGTTCTTTTCCATAGTGCCTCTTGAAATATTAGTTGGGAGTATATATTAAATAATTGTGGCGACAGCACACATCCCTGTCTGACTCATCTTTGAATTTCCACCTGGTTTGTCTCACTATCTTCCACCCGTACGACCGCTCTTTGATTGTAGTACAGATTTTTGATTAAATTAATATCCTTGGGATCTAGGTGTATGTGTTTCAATGCATGTATGAGTTTACCATATTGGACTCTATCAAAAGCTTTTTGGAAATCTATATAACATATGAATACACTTTTATTATATTCCCTACATTTTTGTGATAGTACCGTCATTGCGCATAGTGCCTCTCTTGTTCCCATTCCACATCTAAATCCAAACTGTGTATTGTCTAATTGTTCTTCACATTTTTTTATATACATGCTGCTGAATAACTTTGAGTAGTATTTTTAAAGTGTGGCTCATAAGGCTAATTAATCGGTACTCATAGCAAGATGTAGGATTATTTTTCTTGGGTAAGGGTAAAAAGATAGATTTTAACCATTCATCCGGGATTTGACCATACTATATTTAGTTTTTAGAAT